TTCTCTTTCTGCTTGTTTGTTATTTGTATACAGAAATACAATAGACTTCTGTATATTGATTTTGAATTCATTTTAATAGCTTCTTGGTAGAGTCATTAGAGTTTTTTATATATAGAAAATATATGGTGTTTTCTATCTATAGTATCATGTCATCTGCAAATAGTGACAATTTTACTTCTTCCTTACCAATTTGGATGCCTTTTCTTTTTCTTGTCTGACTGCTGTGGCCAGGACCTCTAGTACTATGTGAATAGAAGTGAGAATGGGCATCCTTGTCTTGTTCCTGATCTCAAAGGAAAAGCTTTTAGCTTTTCACCATTGAGTGTAATGTTAGCTGTGGATTTATGATATATGGTCTTTATTATGTCAAGATATGTTCCCTCTGTACCTACTTTGTTGAGATTTTTTTATCATGAATGGATGTTGAATTTTGTTAAATGCTCTTTTAGCATCTATTTGAGATGATCATATTGTTTTCATCCTTCCTTTTGTTAATGTGGTATGACACACTGACTGATTTGCAGATACTGAACCATCCCTGCATCCCTGGAATAGATCCATCTTGGTTGTGGTGAATGATCCTTTTAATGTATATTTGAATTTGGTTTGCTGATATTTTGGTGAGGATTTGTGTTCTTAGAGATATCGGTCTGTAATTTTCTTTTTTGTAGTGTCTCTGTCTGGTTTTGGTTTAAAAGCTTTTCTTCCTCTTCAGTTTTTTGGAATAGCTTGAGAAGGATAGGAATTAGTTCCTTGAATGTTTGGTAGAATTCTGTGATGCCTTCTGGTCCTGGACTTTTGTTCAGTAGGAGTTTTTTTATTACCAGTTCAATTTCATTACTAGTAATCGGTCTGTTCAGATTTTCCTTCTTGCTGGTTCAGTCTTGGAAGATTGCATGTTTCTAGGAACTTTTCCATTTCTTCTAGGCTGTCCCAATTGTTGGCATATGATTTTTCATAGTAATCTGTTATAATCTTTTGTATTTCTGTTGTCCCAGTTGCAACTTCTCTGTCATTTCTGATTTTTTTTGCATCCTCTTTTTTTTTTCTTCCTTGATGAGTCTAGCCAGTTTGTCACTTTGGTTTATCTTTTCAAGAACCAGCTTATAATTTCATTGATCTTTTGTATTGTATTTTTAGTCTCTGTTTCATTTATTTCCACTCCCTCATAAATTCTTGTTCCCAAAACGAACTGCTGATTTGAGGCCTATGTTAAGCAATGTAAAGTTTAAATAGGTATCTGCAGTTAGACTTGGAGCCAGATCTTTATTAAGTACATTATAACTTAGAGCTCAAATTTCCACTAAAGCAACTATCTGGCAGATACAATTTTGGGAGTTGGTCTATAGGTTGATAACTTGTCTGTATAAGCAAATAATAAAATAATGTTTGAGGTTCTATTAGGACTCTTACAGAAAAGATGTGACACAGCAAAAGCTCTGGAGACACATCTCTGCCCTGTGCTTGCAGTTAGGTATACTTACTTTACAGACAAGTGCTAAGCCTATTGGTATATGTTAGTATGCACACAGGATGAGAAGTAAGACACGTGCATGGAATAAACAGTGCATGTGCACACATATGTGTGCCCATCTTGGTAGAAATTTAAAGTAATGTTTCTTACTGGCAGCTGTCCTTAATTTTTGGAAAATTGAGTGGTGGACTGAGTTTACCTATTCCCCCTTCATAAGTGTTTTCCAAAATATATTCCACAGAATGTATTAATAGTAAAGGGTACTTGAGATTAAATGTATTTGAGAACATTGGACTATACAAAGGTGAAGTTGATTTTTCTACTGCAGGACACCCTAAACTTTTATATGATAATAAGTGTTGTTACTTTCCAAATGCAAACAGTGTTTCTCAAAGTTTACTCTGGAAGTTCTTCATTGAGTATCCCTGGGCTCTAGTATTCTGTGAAGCACATGTCAGGAAATGTGAAACTAGAGGCTGGTCTGAAGACCAGCATCTCAAAAATATAGCTGAGGTTTCTTAGGAAGTTTTTAATCCGGGAGAGATGGGGTAGGATGAAAGAGCAGTGGGATTTACATTCAACCAAAAAAGAAAAATTTTAACTTGGAAAGCTTAAAATAATCAGTCATTTTTAAGTAAGCTCTAAAGGCAATCAACTTATGGTAGCTATGAGAATTAAGAGCTGAAGTAAGCCACCCAGCAATGAGAGTTAATAATTTGTATTAGCTATAATTCACAAAGTAGACTTGAGGTATATGCTTTGGCTGTTTAGGTGATAGTCTTTTAAAACAGGCCATTTTAAAGAAAGTGCGGCAGCAGAGTCACTCCTTTATCCTTGCACTTTTCACAGGGAAATGAGCCTCTTGAACCCTCATACATAGTGGGGCATGTGGCCTCAGCACCCAAAGAACAAAACCTGACTACTTTATTCAATGACGGGGAGAACAGTCAGGTATGCTTTCTGTGGTGTCCAAGTTGGGACACCTATCCCCAGTCTACTTCATCATTTAAAAACTAGTCTAAATTGGAATTCATAGGAAAAAATTTACTTGATTCTGAAAATTGCTTTCTAAACAGCTCTGTGATCTTATAGTTCTGTGACTTTAACTTACTTTGTCTCCTTGTTTTTTCTTTTTCTAGTCTTTCTGTGAATCATGGGGGGAAATTAGGGACCTCCTATTTATTACATAATAATCACTCCTATTTTGTGTTTTAAATCAAAGGGTCTTAAAAATGACTTTGTTCGGAATATTTTGTGGACATTTGAAGATATACATATGTTAGTCGGCTCCAACATGCCCATATTCGGAGGAGGCAGATATCCAGCAGTCAGCCTGCGTCTCAGGTAAACCGAAGTGGTGTTCCTGTAGAATCAGCGCTCCTCTGCTCTCACTGTTTGGGCATCATCATCTTTTTCTAGGTTTTTCACTTCCCGCCTTCCCCCGCCAGTTGAAGTGGCCACAGTAAGGAAGGAGCGTTTATCAGCAAATGCTGAAAACTCTACAGCTGGGTTTCATTTTAGTCCTTAGTGAATGGTGTCAAAGATCTGTTGTACTGGCCTAGTCTTATGTCCAAATCTACAACTTATAGGAATGTAGTAGAATTTATTGAACTAATTAAGGAGGTGGTTTACCAGCTTCCTATTAATTAATTAATTAATTAGCCAATATGAATTCTGACTGGGGCATTATCATGCGTGGTGGTCAGCCTGTCGCCTCTGGTTGTATGGGGAGCATGCAATAGGCTTACAGACATCTGCTGTCATATTTCCTTCTGTCTTCTGAAAACTCTAACAGATACCAGTTAGAAATCCAAGCAAAGCTTATGGAAGGATGTTACACACAACATACCACATGAGTTACGTATGCATATTCCATTAGAAAAACATACATGGCATTTTTCATCTGCAGAAAATTAAAATATTGAGGTGGGGGAAGTACGTCTTAGACTTTAATTTCTGAAACATCTTAATTAAACCAAATAACACTGGAAATTTATATTTTAGGGATAACAACAAACCAATTAATGTGCTAACCGGAATTGACTATTGGTTGGACAACTTGATATGCAATGTACCAGAGCTTGTGATGTGTTTTCATGTAAATGGAATCGTACAGGTAAGCTACAGTGTGACTTGTCTAATCTCTTAAATGCAAATTGGTGCAAAGATCACCTCACCAAAGTTTTTGAGGCCTTGAATATTCAGGTATATTTTTGGCAAGGAAGATAGCTGTTAATAAACTGAAATTTGAGTATTATCAGAATTTTAGATGTTACAGGAATATAATTTCATAGGTAATGTATGGGAAGGTCACAAGCAAACTAAAACCTCCATTTGTAGCCATAGAACTCTAATTTAAAAACAAACCACCCATTATAAGTACTCATAAGTGTCTATACAGTGGAAGTATTCTGTATACAAATATCTACTCAATATATGCAGAGTTTTAGGGGGAGGCCACATAGCTTTTCCTAGCAAATTGTTGAGCATTTTTCTCTTTATGAAGCACTTTGTCCCATTATAAATGTTAGAGGGAAAACAAAGAATGAAGTTTGGTCACTACTCAGAAAGATGTTTTCTAATGGGAAATAACAATGTGCAAAGAGAAAAATAGATGGTAGATTAGGTATTAGAAGTGTAGCACACACACAGAAGTCTGGGTGATCAGAGAGAATCAAGGCCAATTCTTTTTTTATCTGAAAGACTTTCTAGAAGAAGTGGCGTCTTAACTGGATCTTGAATGATAATGTCTCAAAAAGCAAGAGATAGATTTTAAAAGACTGGTGTAAGTAAATGAAAGGATTGCAGGTAATTCCAGTTAGGGAACTGCAGGGTTCATGTAGCAGAACAGCAAAAAAGTTAGCAAGGTCATGGCCGAATAATGCTAAGCTCAGGAGTTTGGACTTGGTGTGTATGGTAATCTGTGGAGTAATCGAGGGCTTTGTATCCGGGAGGTAAACGTCATTGTGTTGGAGTATCTATTTGGAGATGGCGTGAAGGACAGACAGGGAGGACGTGGAGTCAATAAGCCCATTAGGTATTGCACTGCTTTCACAAGTAGTGTATGTACTTACACTGCAGAGGAAATACTGGGGATCGACAACAGTGAGACTGGCTAGCGTGTATTGAGTACTGGTTTTGTTCCAGACCCTTTGCTAAGTGCTTTCTGTGCATTACCTTA